CGTCTCTGCTGTGACCCGCACAGGAGCGGGGCCGCCGGACCCCCGCTGCCGCCTGCGCCCGGCCAGTCCCTTCCTCCTCTCCACGTGCTTCGTGCAGCCGCAGGCCAGGCCTCCTCCGGCCACTGCTCACCCCGCAGTGAATAAACCCACATCATCAGGGCGGCCTTCAAAGCTGGGAGCTGTCATGGCTCCATCAGATCAATGTGTCCCTTTCTCTTTGGGGTTTTAAATTGTTTTCCCTCGCAGAGCCTCAGTGTTAGCCCGACTGGGGTGGTTGCTTTGAAATGTCATTTCCGAGCCTTGGCCGGCCGACCCCTCCCTTCCCACCAGGCCGCCTCCGCACCTGCCCTCCTTGCGGAAACTCTGCTTGTCCTTCGAGGCCTTGAGTGCCACCCCTTCTCATCCGCTCTCTGAAGGCGACCACTTGTCCAACACATTCTTCTCTTAGCCTCAGTGTTAGCCCGACTGGGGTGGTTGCTTTGAAATGTCATTTCCGAGCCTTGGCCGGCCGACCCCTCCCTTCCCACCAGGCCGCCTCCGCACCTGCCCTCCTTGCGGAAACTCTGCTTGTCCTTCGAGGCCTTGAGTGCCACCCCTTCTCATCCGCTCTCTGAAGGCGACCACTTGTCCAACACATTCTTCTTCTCTCGTGTGTCCGGCTTGATGAGTCTTACACTTGCTAAGTTTGCATTGTGCTATGGTTATTTGAGGAACTTTTCCCTACAGAATATAAGCGGTTTTGTTCTTTATTGATTTCAGAGAGGAAGGGAGAGGGAGAGGTAGAAACATCAATGATGAGGGAGAGTCATTGATCTGCTGCCTCCTGCAGACCCCACACCGGGGATTGAGCCCCCAACCCGGGCATGTGCCCTGACTGGGAGTTGAACTGTGACCTCCTGGTTCATAGGTCGATGCTCAACCACTGAGCCACGCTGGCCGAGCTAGAACATAAGCTTTTTAAGAGAAGTAATTATATCTTTTAAATTTCTTTAGCACTTTCACACTTGAGGACAGCATTAAAGATATTAGACTCAATAAATAATTGTTCATTAAATCATAGAATGAGACAGTCAAACGCTGGTCGTGCTCCCGGAGGAAGGGTACTCCTGTGTTGTGGTGTAACCTGGCTTCGGACTTTCATTAACAACCTTTACTTGGAAGCGCTTTTCTGTTCCATGTTTTAGTCCTTCATTTGCTCCTAGAGGTCAGTTTTTGAGATAACATAGTTACTCTCACTCCTGTAGGAGGAGGAAAGTGATTTTCTCTCTGCTCCTCTGAGTTCTTAGCTGAGACCCCTATAATAAAAGACAGATTACCTAGAGAAAAGCAGAAGTTTATAAACATGCAAGTTTAAGGTCAATGTGAACGGGCGGCCTAACTTAGGCTTCAGCCCGCTAACGAGCAAGGGCACCCCAAGTCTGCGTGCTTGGTCCTGGGGTCCAGAAGTTCACGGTAATGCCGCTGAGCTGACCTCAGAGAATAGAGTCATGGAGAGCTGCCGGAGCAGGACGAGGGCCCCGGAACCTGCACACACTCAGCGTGAGAGCCTCCTGGAGTCCCGGCCTCCTGCACGCCTGCCCTCAACCTTATGCCCGTCCTCACCTGGCACCGCCTGGAGGGCATGGCGAATGTGTTTGAGTTTAGCCACGTGGGCATAATTGAATACGAGGTGCCATAGTTCCCTGTGCTGTTGTCCTGCTGCCCTGTGACCTGGTCAGACTCTTTCTGGAATTATTTGACGCGCGTCTTTCATGCTGGAGGATGCGCCCAGGAAGAAACAGATCCGGTGTGTCTCGTTCAGGGTTGTGTGTCCGCAGGAAGTGCCTATGAAATGCGGGTGGCAGGTGTGAATCTCTACTGTGTCCTGCTGCCCCCGTCTCCTCAGTCCGAGCCTTTACGAAGGGCCGGTGCTCACGGGCCCACCCGCGTCTCCACCCCCGCCTGCTCTTCGTGGGACACGGGGAGCTGCTGCCTTGGGCTTCGTGGCAGGAAACCAGTGGGAAGTGGTGGGCGGGAGAGACAGGTGGGCGAGGGTCCCTGCGACAGTTTGTCTTCCCAATCGTTGGCTGGATGGAAAGAGTACAACCGAGCACTTTTTAATCTAAAAATGAAAATGTGCATATGATATATTTATGTAGCTGAAGGAATATTGATTTTACCTGAATGTGTGATGCAGATTCTGCAGACTGTGGAAAACCAAGGTAAAAATTAACTCACAGAAAGTTGACATTATGGTATATAAACAGTTACCTGACACCTGGAGGAAGAAAGGGAAGGAGAAACAATGGAAAGTTGTCTAATTCAGACGGTTCTAGGGACCGGAAATCCGTAAAGATTAGAGCTGGGCGTGGTGTTGGGCAGGCTTACACTTTTCTCTGAGCACTTATGAGGGAACTGAGTTTGTGGAAGTTTTCGTTTCCATCATAGAAAGAAAAGTGAATATCCCAATAGTGTAAATTACCTGGCTCATTTATTGCACTTTTATAAGAAATAAGATTTGGGGGTTTTCCCCAGGACTGCCATGGATTCCAGCGACAAGGTATGCCTGCCCCTTTCTGAGGAGGCTGGTCTCCTGCGAGGTCTCTGGCCAGCTTGTCCTCTTTTCTTCACCTTCCAGCGTCTCCTGGTACTGGCTTTAGTGTCCGGTCCAGAGCAGAAGGAAGGGGGTGGAACGTACATACTCCATCTTGTTTGAGGCCTGATGGCTCTTACTGGCTTTTTTAATGTATCAGTTGATGTCTTTTCTAATTTGTTTATTTGCCCTGTTTATTTTGTTTTTCAGGCAGATGCAGATAAAACAATGTCTGCCAACCTCAAATACCTTTCCTTGGGGATCCTGGTCTTTCAGACGACCAGCCTGGTGCTCACGATGCGCTACTCCAGGACTTTCAAGGAGGAGGGGCCTCGGTACCTGTCCTCCACGGCCGTGGTGGTGGCGGAGATTCTGAAGATCATGGCCTGCATTGTGTTAGTCTACAGAGACAGCCGTAGGTATCCAGGTTGTTGTTTGTAAGTCACTGAAGTTTACTTAATTGTTTGGTATTATTTATATATGACATATACGTAAATATATGTTGGTAACTACACATCTGAACACTACTGCATTATCTAATACCCTAGTACAGTGGTCGGCAAACTCATTAGTCAACAGAGCCAAATATCAACAGTACAACGATTGAAATTTCTTTTGAGAGCCAAATTTTTTAAACTTAAACTATATAGGTAGGTACATTGTTATTAACTTAATTAGGGTACTCCTAAGGCTTAGGAAGAGCCACACTCAAGGGGCCAAAGAGCCGCATGTGGCTCCCGAGCCGCAGTTTGCTGACCACTGCCCTAGTATATTAAGAACATTTCAATATTTGTCATTTTATTAAGACGGCCTTTTTTTTTTTTAAAGATTTTTTTTATTGATTTTTAGAGAGAGGATGGGAGAGGGAGTGAGAGAAAGAACATTGATGTGAGAGCAAAACATCTATCGGCTCCCTCCTGCACGCCCCCTACCGGGGTGGAAACCGAAACCCAGCACATGCCCTGATGGCGAATGGAAGGGGCAACCTTTCTGTGCACGGGACAGCACCCCACTGAGCCACATGGGCCAGGGCTCCGAGTAGAAGGATATACGGATCGTGCTGTTCTTAATATGCTTCCTGATAATATTTAACATTTGAAAAATTAGCCTCATTAAAGGTATAGTTTAGACCTAAAGTGTCTTAACATGTAGCCCAATATCCTTCTTCACAAGAGAGAACACGGAGGCCTAGAGAGAGGGTGCTCAGTATTCAGCGTCACTCGGTGCCTGATTTCACCACGGCATGTTTTTCCTAGAATGTAGTCTGAGAGCACTGAATCGAATCCTGCGGGATGAGATCCTTAACAAGCCTATGGAAACGATCAAACTTGCTATTCCATCCGGGATATACACTCTTCAGAACAACCTGCTCTACGTGGCGCTGTCCAATCTCGACGCAGCCACCTACCAGGTACCGAAGGTGCATTCCTCGGGGTCCTTGTAACCAGCGGACCCTCGGCCATGACTCACGTTCTCTGTTTCCTCTTCCAGGTCACGTATCAGTTGAAGATCCTGACGACGGCGCTGTTCTCTGTGTCTATGCTGGGTAAAAAGCTGGGTGTGTACCAGTGGCTCTCCCTGGTGATTCTGATGGCCGGAGTGGCTTTTGTACAGGTACCTGTTCAAGATAAGCACTCCTGTCACTGTCGCAGTTCCACAGCCTTGTCTGCTGCGCAAGGACAGGTGGCTCTGCTGTCTAGTGAAGCAAATTGATGCTTATCCTCCCCGCTGAGACTTTTGAGAGCTTCCTGTGGGTGATACATTGGGGCTGTGCCTGGTGCTAAGAAACACGTAAAACCCCAATGGTCTGATGCAAAAAAGTGGACCAGCTAGTTAGGGACTAGGACACTGCTGTGTGGAGGGAAGCTAATTGCTAGCGGGTCCCAGGAGCATCGAGGTGACGGACACTCCCTCCCGCCACCAGCGCCCCAGACCATTCCTTCCGCTCTTCGCCCCTCTTTCTCACGGCTCCTCATGGGTTTCCTCCAGGTCCTCTTGCTGGATACTGCCTTGGGGACCTGGTCCTCGGTCGGCTTGTGATTTCCTTAGTTATGTCCTTATTTGTGGAGATGCCACCATGTGGAGCCTTTTGTTAGCACGCCGTGCTGGAGGCTCCTGGCTCGCGGCCGGCAGCTCTGGTTGTCGCCCGCGGTGTCAGATTTGTGTATCTAACCCCTGCTGGGCAGCTTGGCTGGGCTCTTCAATCGGCCTGATAAACGAACTTGACCTCCCGCCCCCGTTCCTGTCTCTGTTTCTGCCAGTCACTCTTTCTCAGCCTGGGGTGGGCCTGGCCTCTCCCTTCTGCTCGGACGTCCAGTAAGACCTCGCTGCTCTGCCGCTCGTTCTCCCAGGTTGTGTCCTGCCTGTCTGCACCTCGCTGCCCCGCTCCTGCCTCTGTTTCTCCTGTGGCCGTTTGGCTCTATAAAAGTACTGTCGTTGTGGGGTGAAAAGGATGTTTTCCCCTTCAGTCCTACCCGCCCCCCAAATTCAGCCTCCACGCAGTCACCGCCATGGTCTGTCTAAGAACAAATCCAACCCTGTCGCATTCCTGCCACTCAGAGGCCCCGTAGCACTTTCCCAGAGTGTAGTGTGTGCCTTGGATAAATCTTTTCCGTATTTATTTTAAACTAGAGGCCCGGTGCACAAAAATTTGTGCACTCAGGGGGGTCCCTCAGCCCGGCCTGTGCCCTCTCGCAGTCTGGGACCCCTTGGGGGATGTCCACCTGCTGGCTTAGGCCTGCTCCCCGGGGGATTGGGCTTAAGCTGGCAATCAGACATCCCTCTGGCAGCCCGGGAGCCCTCGGGGGATGTCCACTTGCCAGCAAGTACACTGACCACCAGGGGGCAGCTCCTGCATTGAGCGTCTGCCCCCTGGTGGTCAGTGTGTGTCATAGTGACCACTCATTCCCAGTCGTTCTGCTGTTAGGGTTAATTTGCATATTACCCTTTTATTATATGCCTGGTGCATGGGTGGGGGCTGGCTGGTTTGCCCTGAAGGGTGTCCCGGATCAGGGTGGAGGTCCCGCTGGGGTGCCTGACCAGCCTGGGTGAAGGGCTGAGGACCATTTTCAGGCTTGCCACACCCCCTTCAGGGTGGGGGTCCCCACTGGGGTGCTTGGCCAGCCTGGGTGAGGGGCTGATGGCTGTTTAC